TTATTGGAGGGAGGCTGTGATGAATCTGTACAATAAAAGGAGACGTCTACCCCGCCAGTGTCAATGGCCCCCCTAACGGAGAGAATCTTAGGAGGTAGATATGCCAATGCCGGTGAGCAGAGTCCACTGTAAAATGGTGCGGTACAGGGCTCCGTTACTTTTATTGGCACCCCAAGAATCATCCGTCGCCAATCAATGCAAAGCAGTGGACTGAAAGACAGCGGTCCCCGTCAAGCCACGCCGTCCAAGATCACCGAGTCGCCTCCGAGCCTCTTGTGCGTGCAGTATTCCTCTCCTGACGGGCATTCGGTAAAATCAGTAAATCGCATTTTGATCTGCACCTGGACTCGGATCTGGGATGCGTCCAAGGCCATGACGCCTGACGAGATTGAAGAGCTGCTGATCAACGCCCCCGACGAGGAGGAATCTAGAATTCGTATATTACAAGACATCCGCACCACTGCCGAAGGACTGCAAGCAGTCGATTCTCCCGAGCTCGGCGCCTTGACAGAGAAAGTCGGGAACGGGAGCCGACAAGGTAACCCTCACCACGAATTCTCCGACGGCCATTGCCGGATCTACATAGCCTTCGCCTACTGACTTATTCTAGGGCCATGGAGGATACCGCTGGGAAGATCCGGGCTGCTCGACTTCTTTCTGACCCTCGCCATAAAGCATAGCCAAGACGTCCAAATTGCCACCCACTCCCTCCGAGTCATAGGCAACACCTGTGCAGATCAAGGTCAGCATCTTTTATATCTGACATGTACTTGACCCCTGCACTTGCTCACAAGTCACAGATGAGAACCGGCAACGTGTCGTCGATTCGAGCTGTCTGCCCCAGCTCGTTGAAATGCTGGCTAACGACACGCTGGCACGAGTCGTTGTTCCAGTTCTGTTTAATGTCTGTGTCGATTATGGTAAGAACGAGTGGCCGCCCCTGAGAGCGTGTGAATTCTGACCTATTGTCGAGCAGAGCCTGCTCAGGAATCGGCCTATAAAGCCGGCCTGGTTACCTACCTAGTTGACATTCTCAGAAGGCCGCCGCTACGGGACGAGGTTTCGCCATACATTGCCATTGTCTACAAGTTGCTAGGCCTTGTGGCAGCTCAAGGTAAAAATTCCACTGTCTATTCCCACACGGCTCATCGAGTCTGATGGAGCGGCCGGAAACTGACAGGCTTCAAGAATATAAACCTGACCTGGTGCCCCTTATAACGCCATTCTGCCTACTAACCGAGGCCCGTGACAGGCTATCATCGAGTTCGGATTCTCCAGAAGACGTTGAAGCTTTTATAGGACTGTCTTCCGCGTCATTGACGTATCTTGCGCGCCAGGAACTTCAGCAGAGCTTTCTTGAAACCACCGGTGCGGTCTCACTTTTCTTAGAAGCCTTTCAAATGGCCACCGAGGAGTCCCTCCTCCTCCAGATCGATGATGCCGAGGACCAGGAGCAGCTTAAGCAGCTACAGCTGGCGTTTACAGAGGCCTTGGCGGATATATCGGCCAATCCTCGATTTGTCGACATGTGCCAGCTCGATGGTCACCAAGCTACTTTGCTCTTGCGTTGGATTTCATCCCCTGATCATCGACCTACTCTTCGAACTGCAGCATGCCTGGCCCTAGGTAACATCGCCCGCTCCGATGCGTCGAGTATTGCACTTGTCCAGGACATGTCAGTCCACAAGGCACTGATTGCCATCCTATCCTCTGACCCGTCAGCATCGGACGCCCAGCTACTACATTCCACCCTCAGCTTCCTAAAGAATCTGTCTATCCCCCCGAGCAACAAGGAGGTTCTGAGTCACGCAGGACTGCTAGACCGTCATGTCCTCCCTCGTGTCTGGGGCCTCGACACGCAGCCGCAAATTCAATTCGACGCCGTGTCTCTTACCCGTCTCCTGCTCATAAGTTGTCCCACAACCTTACGGCACGTTTGTGCCGGCCCCCCAAAAGCAGACTCGTCGGTGTCGTCGCCTCCTGACGAGACACTTCTGCACCAGCTGATGGACCTGCACCGGAAAGCGGACCAAGAACCTATCAAGATGGAGATAGCGCGTGCGGCAGCCAACGTCTGCCGTGTGCTCCACTCGGACAAGCCCGTGGGTTCTTCTCTCCTTCCCGAATCAGCGCCATCGCTCTCGCCTCCGGATGGAGAAGCTCGGTCACTGCTCCAGAACTTCTATAGCACCCATCACGCACTTGGGGAAACGTTGGTCTACCTTGGGCTGCAAACCAAGTTCCCAGTCCTGCGGTCGGAGCTCTGGTTTGTACTGGCGCTGATGGCGCGGTCCGCCGAGGGCGCGGCCGTGGTGATACAGATCATCAATGAACATCCCCGGATAGTAAACGTTCTTGTAGAGGCTGTCACGGGCGAACAGACGCCTGTCGAGGATATGGAATCACAGGACGTAGCAGGCAGCAATCAGTCGACGGGGCTAGACGACGTTTCCGCCCTAGGCGCCCTAGGTCAACTCGAGCCGCAACAGGTAGAGCAGGCAAAGACGGCAACGGTGGCCAAAGTTGATCGCGAGAACTGCCTTGTGTTGATTGCCGAGCTGTCGAAACAATACTCTGACAGCATTAGTCCTTTAGCAAAGAGCACCTTCAGCCGACTGCTAAAGACGGGTGGCGAGCTGGTTCTTGGTGCCAGGAATGAGGAGGCGCATGGAGAGCTGTCAACTCGGCAACTTCAAACTAGGTAGATAGGGCAAGCTTGGACGAGCATAAGTATTAGTGAATGTGTAACCCATCAAGAGATCACAATCCACACGAGATGTCATTGCCATTACACGATGCTCAGAAACAATCACAGTATTGTGCCAAACCCTAGCATTGTCACAGCTTATGTCGCGATTCTTCACAAGGCGCAGATCAACTTCATGTCATGTTCATTCATTTTCCATTGAGAACGACCTAGCAAACCCGAAAATGCAATTATGCTTTAGGACTTGGCTACGGCGAGAAAAGGATCATCTCTCTTCCCCCCTTTTTCTGGCTACATAGAAACCGTAAGCCAAGCCAAGCCACCATGACCGTCCAACGACACAGCGAAAGCAGATCCCTAATGCCGTCCGTACTCCCGTAAAGAACCCACAGGGATTGAGACGTCCGTCTATTTCTTGTTGGCCTCGGCCTCGGCCTTGTCTCTGGCGCGCTTGTCGCGTATGCCCTGCAGTCTCGCGTCGCTTCGGGCCTTGCGTAGCTTGGCGTAGGCACCGCCCTCGATCGGCTTGGGCATCTCGCTCTTCTGGATCTCCGTGATACCTTCGCCAACAGGGATGATGGGAAGGGCAGATCCAAGGCTCGAGACGGTCTCGGTTTTGCTAAGATCGATGTCCTTGCTGTCACCGGCCTTGGGGTGCTTGGCACCCTTGCGGGGGAAGACGATCAGTCGGGACTGGTAGGCCTTGAGACGAGCGACATTGGCGGCGAAGGACTCTTCGCTCAGGTTCTGTCGGCGGTGGTCGACGGCGATACCGATGGTGGGTGCCACAAGGCGGGGGATGCCAGCTTCCTGCGAACGTGTTAGAACACGCAACTAAATGTCGATCTGGTAACGGAACGGCGAGGTAGTCGGGGAGTAAGGCTCAGATAATGGAATGAGTAGACTCGAGTAGAAGCACCCTAGAGAGCGCAGATGAGATTCCTCCTTAAGTGAGACGTACCTTGAGCTCAGCAAGGGTAAAGCCACGACCGGCACGGACGCGGCGGTTGTACTTGATGGTCGGGCATCGGACCACGGGTCTCAGCTTGTCGACGGGTCGAGGAGCGACGGCGGCAGCCTTGGCACGTCGCAGAGAGCGGCGTCGAATCTTCTGGGTCGGCTACAATCCCCATCTCCAGTCAGGATATCGTCCAAGTCGCATGGCCCTGTCGTGGAGAGACTTACCTGGTCGAAGTGGGTTCGGACGCGACGCTGCCAATCCTTTCGGAAGTCTACACGGCTTGATCAGTATCGAAAGTCGCAAGATGGCGGGAGTAGATGGGCAATCCATCGTTGAAAAATGGCTTGAGCTGGAATGAACATACGGTTGTGCTGAATCTGGTTGTTGTGCTTGATCGCCTGGAAAGGGATGCGTCAGCGCACATAGTTACAGGCAGAGCATCAATGCTATATGGTGACGTCGTCTTCGGTATTCAGGGACGGTGATGCTTACCATGGTGACTGGTTGCGATCAAGAGGTTCGATGGGGGAGTGGAAGGGATGGTCGTCTATCGCAGTCGAGTGTTTAGATTGGAAAATTACCAAAGGCAGCCCGCTTTGACCCCAGCTCGCACTTTTCGGCAAAATTCGTTGAAGGGTTTGGAAGCCCTATGATTTTTTTGTAGTGGGGTCGGGTACGCCTTGGTGTCCAGGCGCTAGCCCCGCAGGTGGCAGGTGGGCGTGTGGCAGGTGGCAGGTGGCAGGTGGCAGGATGGCTTGACGTGCTCCGAGGCTGCGAGGGATTGGCCTGTGTCGACAGCACACTCACGGGATCTACATGCCTGTAGCACATTTTCACTCCCTCGGTACACATTGCTTTCTTCTATATTGTTCAGATGGCGACCAGAACCCTCAATTTTAAGCTACTATTCATGTCCTTATTCGTAAGCACCTAAGACATCAATCCTGGTCAACCGATACGCATAGGCTGTAGAGCCGGCAAACTAGGTGCTTGTTGATGCCACGACATCGTGATCTTTTCTACAGGTAGACATTAAAGACGAAAGATCAACGTTCTCATATCAAATATCAAATATCAATCAAAGGCGCAGAGATTAAAAAGAGAAAATGAATGATGATGATAATAGATCTCCCATTTCTTTTAGTTTTAATCTGTGTGTGTATAGTTATTATTAAATTCCGACTTTTTGATAAAGTGCGCTGTCTATGTACTTTAACGATAAAATAAGCCTCGAAAATAACTCAGAGTCATTTGCGTCCAATTGCATATGCGGGTCTGCATCTGTAATATAGTCGTAGATAACGGCTGACCAGCCATCCATGAAATCTGGTTGCCCTGGTAGCTCAATTGGCTAGAGCGTGGGACTTTTACAATTGACTCTTCTCAGCTAAAATCTGGAGGACGATAGCTAGTAATCCCAAGGTTGCGGGTTCGACCCCCGCCTGGGGCGGCATTAATTTTGGTGGTCACCGTTATTTATTATTTTCAATTATCACAGTACCACTACTTGGCCAGCTATTTACCTTTTTCACCTAGGGAATTAAAATCTCAGGTGTTTTTAAACATGAGTAATGATACGTCTTAACTTGTGCACAGGACAAGAATAGATCTGATTACCCGTAAGCCAGGATTCCCCGCATCCGCCTGGAATTTGTCGGCATCCCTGTTCAAGTGATCTCATCTTGCTATATACATATCTACCCGTACCATGTCTGCATCTCCCATCCGACGGCTGCTAGTCCTGAGCTCACGCGTCGGTACCTTGGATACGCGCAGTGTCTTTGGCAAAGCGCGCCTCTGCCGCGCCCACGCAGAGAGATGCCTCCACGGCACGGCCACCCGCCGCACTGACGGCGTCTTCCGTGGCCTGGCAGATCAGCGCCTCCCGATGCCCTGGATAGAGGCCTGGAGGCTTCAGCAGGAAGAGAAGAGTGTAGGGACCGGTACCGCCGAGGCCACAACTCAAGAACGCGACATCAGCCCGAAGAGGATGAGCGACAGCTACCACCGCCTCGTTCTTCCTCTGGGACGCGACCCCTGGCTTAGCGATACATATATCAACGCTTCTGGTCATATAAGGTCCTCGTCTTCGGCCCGCCCCCTTTCCGCCTCAAATTCCTACCCGTCTCTGACCCCGTTGCTCTATTTCTAGGCTGGGCACCATTTTCATGGACCTGGACGCCTTGTCGGGCATCATCGTGTACAAACACACTGGTCCCGGGGTTACCACCGTGACCGCAGCCCTCGACCGCATCACCATCGACCACCCGCTGACCGAGATATGTGATCTCGAATACAGCGGCCAGGTTACGTACGCGTCCGGGAGGAGCAGCGTAGAGATTACCTGCAAGGTTGCCCGCGCGAGGGGAGAGGGCGAGCCGAGCAAGCCTGAGGACGTGCTGCTTACATGCACTTTTACCATGGTGGCTTTGGATCCTAACACCAAGAAACCCGTCAATATACCACCTCTGATCTGCTCGAACCCCGACGAGGAGAAGATATTCAAGGCTGGCGAGGCCAAGGCCCTGGCTAAGAAGAGGACGCTCAAAACCTCGCTGCTGGAGACGGAGCCCAATGACCCCGAGTCGGCCCTCATCCATAAGATTTGGCTGAGACAGGTAGCATACCATGACCCGAACAACCAACTTCGGCAGCCGGCCAACGTAATCTCCATGTCCAAGACCCAGCTGTCGACCGCTTCCATCATGCAGCCGCAGTACCGCAACCGCCATCAGACCATGATCTTCGGGGGCTTCCATCTCAAGCAGACCTTCGAGTTGGCCTTCTGCTGTGCTGCGAGTTTTGCACACGCGCGTCCAACCTTCATCAGCGCCGACCCTTGTACATTTCGCAATCCCGTTCCGGTCGGAAGTGTGCTGTACCTGACCGCCACCGTCGTCTACACGGACCCTCCTCTCCTCGACGAAGAGGGGAGCGAGCCGCAGCAAAGGGACTCGAAGAACCCCGTGACGCGCCTACGTATGTTGACGAGATTCTCATTCCGAGCCGTAAGGAAAACGATCTATTCACTAACTTGTACTCCTGCAGACGTCAGGGTGGACAGCAAGGTCAGAGATGTCGAGCATGGCATCGCCAAGCCAACTGGCCAATTCAACTATACCTTTTCTGTGCCCAAGAGCGTCAAGGTTTTGCCACGTATGTTCTCCCCATCTCACTCGTCCCTCCCTCCTCGATATTAGCTAGACCAGAGGCACGGGGGCTCATCCAAGTTGCTTCGGTATTCCGTACGAAACACGTGTAAGTGTGTGTCACTGACTCTGGTGTTTGTAGACACGTATCAAGAGTATATGATGTATATCGACGCTAGGAGGCGAGTGCAACTCGGAGACTCGCAGGACCGCCAGGACCACTCGGTCTCGGACATGCAGCGACAGCGGTCAGCCGAGCATGTCAACCTCACGGAATAGATGCCGTACGATGTCCCGTGCTGAGACCGAAACCAGCGGGTCAGCGATACGACTTGAAGATGGGCTTGACCAGGTAACCTAGGAGGTGAGGGCGCCTCTGTAGAAGACTGCCTACTTGTTCATGGCTATTGCCAGCCAGTGTATCTCTCAGTCAAGTGATACTCCCTGGATTAGGCAGATAGGTATATATATATGTACAGAGTATATGTCCAAGCAAGTGCGTACACGCCAGGTACTGTACATAGCACATGGCCATGCTGGCACCTGGGACCTGGGTAGGCTTATAACCGCCGCCCGAAACAGATAGATTGCGATACAAGGTACCGGGGCTGGGCTTCTGCATCTCTGAGTGTCGAAGTCGAGATCATACAACATGTATCATACGTAGGTGCGTGTATGTGTGTGCGTGTGTATGTGGTATATTGGATTGTCTTTACACTCCGCCCTTGAATTGCGACAACTCCCTATTCTTCCTAGCGTACCCATGTCCCACCAGAGGCAGATCCCTCTTCTTCAACTCCTCCTCGATAAGCTTGAACCGTCCGACAGCCTTCTCTTTATGGCCGCGGGTAACACGCTTCGTCGCAACAGACACATTTGGGAGCTGCACTAGATCTTGGCGGTGCTCCTGGATCTCCTGCGTCACAGTCTTCGGCTTCGGCGGTTTTTGAAGCACACCCAGCAAGGACCGCACGTCGGTGATGCTTGCTAACTGGTGATCGCGCACAAGCTGGCCGGTAAGCTGGAAAACACGCTTGGTAACCTAACGTAGTGAATACACGTGTTAGCATGCCGATACACGTTACTCAGGTATAGAATGACGAAGACTGAGTAGGCATATCGAATGAGTCACGACTTACAGCAAACCTGATGCGTGGTTCCGACAGTGAGGCTGCTTTCCAGCCTTGACCCCAGGCTTCTCTGTACGCCTGGGCTTCTTTTACCGACAATATTGATTTGTTCAAGGACTGACCCCCGGCCGACTCGTCGTTTGTGTTTAGCAGGTCTTTCGGGCTCAGAGTCTCCAGGACAAAGGAAGCATCGCCGGTGAAAGACATTGCACCGTCTTCTCCAACATGGACGTCTACCCCCATGAGCCGACTGAGCTCACCCCCTGTCATGGGCCAAGCGCGCACCAGGTCGTCTTCACGGCCCGCCTGTCGTAACGCAAATGCCTCTACAACGGCCCGTCGTACAGAGGCTTCGATGACAGCTGGGTCGAGAACGGTGCGAGATGGCCTGAAACCTGCGAAATCATTATTCCAGTGATCGGGCTGCTCCCACCAATATCTCATGCCGCCCACCGTCTCCAAGTCGTCCCCCTTCAGAGCAGGAACGTAGTAAGGGTCTGAGACTTCGTCTGACCGCTCGGCATAACTGCGCGGAGGGGGCGGGACGTAGGTGTACGAGCGCCGATAGTCTGCAACCTCCAGTCCATCTCCGTCCAGTTCGCTACGCTCTTCTCCGCGAGCTACATCTACCGCGGGGGCTGTGCTCTTCTGGGTAGTTGTTCTGTCGGCCGAGTAGAATCGTGTAGATATGTGATTCCGAAGGCTCGTCCGTACGGGCCTAGGATGCGAGACCGAGGCAAACTCGGAAGACGTGGGTTGGGAACGGCATTGATCAGCTGAAGTGCTGATTGAAGCACGCGGCGACGAGCTGTTTATGCCGGGCAGCTGTCTTAATCGGGATATCCGTCGCATCTCTGGACCAATCCGGCTGCCAATTCTAGCTGTGGCGTTGTGCTATCGTGTGTTGGTGATTTAACGATTCTCTCTCTCTTTTTTTTTTTTTTCTCTCCCTCTGGATGCGAATTTCGCGACGTCCGTGTAGCTGGTAGGTATTATGCATTTACCCACTCATTGCTAATGTAATATCAGAGCTTTGTGGGGCATACCAGACATACTTGTACATCTGTTAAGTACATACCAGGGTACATCATTCAGCGGTTATTTCATCCCACGAATTACACGTTATGTACATACATAATGTAGCCAAGTGCTCTTCTGTTTTATGCGTGATACGCCATGCCGACGCCCATCATTCCTCTACCATCAGTCGGTCTCTTTGCAGTTGAAAGCCGGGACTCGACACTCGATACTCGATACCCGCCCGTTCGCCCAATGGTCGCGACGCAATGCGACTTCACCTCTCTCTCCTCCTCCTCGTAGGGGCCTTGATTTCCTACGTCGCCGCATCTTGTGAGCAGCCATGCCCCCATCCTCCCTGCATACCCGCACACCTGCTCTAGTTCGCGAGGCTGACGCCTGTTCTGTCTCCGTTGCTCCTAGCCGCGCCGACGTTTTGCAAATGCACCTGCTTCAAAAACAGCACCTTGATCCAGCTTGGTCCCCAGTCCGACTCCTCCCCGTCCTTTAGCGACTCGAGCTCGAGCTCGTCCGCGTTACGTTCACTCCCTCTCCAAGGCCGCGCCGCATCTGCTTCTTGCACCCAGTGTACACGCGCCTTCTGCCTTTCTCAGCATCTGCCCATCTGCAAGGAGGCCGAGGAGAACGATGTCGTGGCCATGTGCTTCCAGCGAGACAGCCGCAAGGATCAGATAATCGTCTGGGGCTTTATTTTAGGTACCGCTGGCTTGCTAAGCTGGGCGGCCGGCAAGAGAGTTATCGAGATGCGCGAGGGTAAGAAACTAAGAGTGGCTGGCTCTAATACGGGAGGGACCACCCAGGATAGGGGCGTCTATGTGCCCATTGGCCACGATAACCCCCAAGGGTCAAGGTAGATCGATCGATTCAATATAAAGTACATTTATTATACGCGCGACTACTACTCGTAGGCCACTGATCATTAGTTCTCGAGTGCTGAAGTAAATATCAAAGTACTTACTTCATGTAAGTACAGGTAGGTAGGCACTTCAGATATGTATACTAGATCCCTTAGATATGAGAGGACCTCAAGGAAATTTGTTATATTGAAAAGGAATAACTTTTGAATTGTGCTTAGCCGAGATGTTCCCTAATGCCCTTTCCTTTTATTTTATTTCCTCCTTGTCTGCCTCTCT